TGATATTGATGGTCATGTTGATGTTGATGTTAGCGCTAACGCTAACGTTGACACTAATGTTGATGCTGACGCTGACGCTGACGCTGACGGTGATGTTGATGCTGATGCTAAGCGTGAACAATCCCTGTTGCTTTGGAACAGCATCAGCACGAGCACCAAAAATATATGTTGGCAGAAAGAAGAAAGCACAGAAGAAAACTTATAAGAAAACAAAAACAGAAAAGAAAAGTTTATGAAACAGCAGAAAAAAGGCAACCAAAAGCAATTGCTATGACCATTGTCTCATGGGTAAAAGTGCTTAATAGCTCGACTGCCTGCCTGCCTGCCTATCAACATTAAACATTAAACTCTTGAAGTTAGGCTAAAAATAACTGTTATGTTAAATGTTGTCTGACCGTTGGCAAACAAAGACGTTTTTCGAAAAAAGTAACGCGGACTTAAAGATTTAATAAAAGGAAAAAAAAAAAGAAAAAAAAAAAAAAAAACAATTTTATATGTAAGAAAAAAGAAAGAAAACAAACGAGAGTTATTGGAATTTTAATTTATTGCAAAGAAAGTGTTGACACAACAAAGAAGCAAACAAAATAGAAAAATGTTTTTAGAAAAATTAAAATATTTGCTAATAATCGTTACCTTAAGCGTTCATATTGCTAACACCGTTAATGTTGATAATGAAGAAGAGAAAAACTCCTCATCAACGCAATTAGATAACATTCACGCACATCTCGATATAAATTCCACAAATATGAGAGAGGGACGATTAATACATTTAACAAGGAATCCCGGTTTCGCTATGAGACGCCGAATGCCAATTAAAATTATACCTCGAGCAGACCACTACCCCATCGGTGGTAATCTTAATCCTGTTAGACGTTATCCGTTAAGATTTGTCCAGGGTGTGGGTGGTTCTGGACCTTTACTACGTTATAGCTATGAGTCTCCAAAAAGTTCAAAATATATAAGTAACAAGGGGCAGTTCTTAAATAATGGTAAGGTCAGCGCCTATAGGCATCAACTTCTCTCCCTGCATCCGAATTCGCTGGCAGCAAACCCATCGCAACAATATTTGCAAAATTTTAAAGCGTCGGTGCAAATCAATTCTAAAGCGGCTATACTTGGTCATGGTATGCATGGTCAGCAAGAGAGCTTTGCGAAATTGATTAAATCGCAACAAGCGGCACAAAATCCATACTACATAGAACCTCAACAGCATCCCATACCTGATCAAGAGAAAATGTTAAAATATAATGAACAACATGAGAAATATTTACAACAGCAGCAACACTTAACCGCCCGAGATCCATTGGGTTATTACAAGCAACAACAGCAGCAACAAGCCCAACAATACTTCGGACAGACAGAGCAGAACGCCCAAACCACTCCGCCAGCACCATCGACGCATACTTATTCGGTTTACGAGGATAATGATATGACAGAATTGCAAAACGTTAATTATTTAGCCACAAATCAAATCGACCTGGAAAAGGAAGCTCAAGATTATTTGAGATTTATGAACACAAACGATTACTTTGTACCACGGAGAGAACCGAACTATAAACAGTTAGATGAGGAAAACGATAAACGTCAATATCAACAAGTAAAAAAGCAAAATCAAGAGCAACAACAACAACAACAGAAACAACAGCAACAACTACGACAACAAACACAACATTCTTATGGACAGAAAAAACAAGTTTATCACTCCTTACAGCAGCAACAACCACAAAAGCAACAACAGCAGCAGCAGCATCAACAGCAGCATCAACAACAGCCGCAAACGCAGCAATCAGCATTTGTGAAACCCATAAAAATATCAAATCTATACTATCAAGATGACGCTACCGGTCCAATTCAAGCTTCTACGGTAGTGAGAACCAGTTATTCAACCGGCTATAAGCAAAGCCAGATAAAGCAGACGGCAGCGACAACAGTTGCCACACCACAAACCCAAGCTGCCCCTAAAAATGTTCATAAACAGATTCGTTACAGTAGTCGAACACCGGAGCCCATGCGATTTGAATTTACAGAACAAGATGCCATTATAAATGGCGCAACGTACACGCATGCTCCGAAACAGCAGCTAAAATATAAAGCTATACTAAAAGCAGTTAGCCCAAGATCCCCCCCAGCAGTAGAAAGTTCTACAACCGCTACTACATTAAGAACTGGTGGATATAATGAAATTCCTAGTGAACACACTCATAATGACAGCGACGACCCTGAAGATGATGATGACATGCAAGGAGAATATTTGGTTAGCCATTAATTAATACGCATAGCATATATAGCATATATATTATTAGTTTCATATGAGAATAACATCTACTTATTATATAGAATGTATATGGTCGCCAACCATTGGTCGGCATAACGAGCAGTACGACGGAACATGCACAAAATGATCAGAAGGATACAGAAGAATATTGCGAGCGCATATGCGCAATAGTGGACGACGAACATGAAGAAATTGTATGCGGTTCCGATGGCTATATGTATACTAGTGAAGCTCAAATGGAATGTTATGCATCATGTCTACATATCGGTAAGTTAATAAAAACATTATCAAGAAAAGTGTTTCGACAACCAAATACGTACATACTTGCATACCTAGTAAGAAATGCTCTTTGTCAGAAGAACACAAAACAAATTTAAATTTCGTTGATAAATATTTACGATGACTAGCAAAGAAAGCATTTGTTGCTTGTAGTTTTCGTTACAATTCGCGTATTATCTTTTAGTAGAGATGTGAAATACGCGACAATCGAAATATTTGAATACTTGACAGGCTGATGGATTAAGTGAAAATGGCCAACGGTAGCTAATTATAAAATTAATCGTTAAGATAATACATCGGATTGATGTAGAAAAATCTTTGAAAAGAAACAAAACGAGTAGCCGAGGAGGCTAACTCGACTAACAACTCTCACGGGTCGTCGTCGCGCTAGCCTCAAGCGTGATAGCCTCAGTCGCTATGCTAGTGCTTTAAGACACTAGTTCTTAGAATTTATTTCTCTGACTAAATTAATTATAATGCTAATAATAATAATAACAATTAAGAAAGTTAAATTTGGTGGAGGCCGACACTCGCATACCCACCATTACCACGCTTTTCGCATTCAACTCTCAAAGTTGTTTTATTTGATACCCATGTCGTTGGTATTATTAGGATAAAATTAATCGCGCTGTCTACCATATCTACTTTAGAATTAACCCAGTGTTAGGCGGATAATATACATTTACTTGAGGAATAGTTTTAAATATTCCATCTTGTTTGCGATATAATAAATAAGAATAAAACCTCAAAAAAGTGAAAAAAAAAAAAATTTAATCAATTGTAACTTTGTGTGGACATGGCCGAACATTTTCAGCTTTGCACGTGAAGGATGGAGTGTTTCGTAAAGTAAATGTGGAAAATATCAGCCTTCGAACTTTTATATTTTCTTCGTTCAGTTTATGCTCCACTGCGGGCTTCTGCTCTAACCAATTTGACTCGTTTTCAATACCTACCTGTGTGCAAGAACTTTCACTGCTTCTGCCAAATTTTAAATTGATATCTTCATTTTTGCGTCCAGGAGAGTGCCAACAAGAAACATTAAACAGACGGACAGATACGGTTTAATTAGTTCAGAATTTCACGCCGATCAAGAATATGTACACACTTTGTAGGGTCTCCGAGGCTTCCTTTTGGACGTTACATAAATTATGGAAAAAAAAAAACAAAATGATTATCCGTCCATCCTTCAGCGGTGGGTATAATAATAATAGACGAAAGGAACAGGAAGGAAGGAAGGAGGATTTGAGAAGAATAGTTTGAGAATATGATTTAGTTTTTCATTCACTATTTTACGTATTCGTCGAATTATATCTGTTACGAAAATGTGAATTTCTTCTTTGATCTTCTATGGTATTTCATTTACCAAAAGTGTTTGTAAAAAAAGATCAATAGTTTCTCGTTAACTGAGCAATTAAATGAAATATTGAAATATTTTTTTTTTGAATTAGTTAATCGGAAAAACTTTAAAAATTAATCTACAAATTTCTTAGCATGAATCCTAAAAAATGTCTAAACTTTGTGTATATAATAAGAAGAGGATTCTGCATAGTCTGGACATATATATATATTTGTTCATGTAAAGATGATGGATCATTTATATTTATCAACCAACCAACAAAGTCCACTACTCTTTCGTAATGAAAGAGACTTATGAAGTAAGTCTGCAATAATTTGCATTGAGCGCTAGACTTGAATACCGTGACATCTCTTATATGAATGCGGAATAATATCGAAAACTTTTACAGCCCATTGCTACCTATTATAAAAGCATATATAGTTTACTTTACAACGGCAATCTTTAGAAAGATTTATTTAATCTTTTTGACTTAATTGAGTCAGGCAACGGTTTTTTACTGAAACTATTATAATTATAAGAAAAGGACGGACAGATTGTCGAATGTAGCCAAGTCTAGGCGAAAGTGCATAAATTGGTAGACTTTTCGATCGTCCGATGTAAGTTGGACCAATGAAATGAGAGAAATATTCTTCCACAAGATTGTAACAATAATTTTACAACTGAAACAAGTAAAAACAGTATAGTTAAACAAGGACCACAATTAAATACCCTGCAACACTTCCTTTACTACAGTTTATTATTCATATATTTTTCAAAATAAGATGTTAGTTATATGGGAAACGGTCAAAGAAGTGAACCGATCCAAAATATTTTCAATAGCGTTCACATTCGCGGAGAAAACATTGCTCGGTGTATCATATTTCGCAAAAACATTTTAAAAATTTACGACCTGTAGGCTGAATAGAAGAAATCAAGAGAAACAAGATGGACAGACAAGCTTAGATCGACTGAGAAAGTGATCATCAAGTTATGTAGTAAGTCATTCTGAATCAATCAGCGTCATAAAAGGAGGACCCATCTCAACTCCTTCTGATTGTTGCATAAATCTGCACAAACTTAATATACCCTTTCACCACAAGTGATGTAAGGTATAAAAATTACTTAATTCACGAGTATTTTTTCGATCCCTGAAGTGATTTTATATCCTTTAAACCCACGACTGCTGTAACTTTTCTATTTCACTCCTCTCCGCTACTCTTCCATAAATGAGATCATTGCGAATGAATAGCATGAAATGAGTCCAAACATTACCATTGAGAAAACTATTACTTTTTTTCTTCTCTAAAAGTTTTGCTTCCGGTTAATCTGAAACGCTAGGTTAGTATTCCCAATATAGTTACCGCTGTTGTAAAGAAAAAAAGTCATCATATTTCAACCTTGACTATTAGATTGAATTAAGATGGTTGAGTCATCTGGCAACTTAAAATGCATAATAAAAGCCACATGTTTCTTTTATACAGCATATCGGTCAAGAATGCCCGGGGTTACATAAAAAGAGCAATTTTTTTTTTTAAACTCGTTTTCGATTCATCAACATAGTCTCCTTAAAAAGTAGTATAGCCAATCCAAAGTTTCTCCAGCATTTCGGCACTTTTTCTATTGGATGATATCTCATATATGCGCGCTCAACGTTCACTACCTCAGTTATGATTGGAGTGGCTGTAGATAACTTCGCCTAAGTCTGTCTGTCTGCCTACTTTTTTCCGACAATGAACTTGGTAAACGTCACTTTCGTGAGTTCTTGGCCATAGGAAACAAAAATTTACAGTTCAGACTTTATTACTCGATTTTCTTCTTTGATGCAAATAACGGCCGTTGTGGGCCGACATGTAGAATGCGAAGACTGGAATAGAAACTCAAATTTCAATTTATGCAATTATGTCAGCGATCCGATAAAGTATTTCATTTGTTTATTCCATTGCAAGCAAACACCGTCTCCATAGGGAAAAAACCCTTTCCATACCGAAATTCTTATTCAAAATAGAGAAAAGGTTGACAAAGATAATGGAAAAAAAGAAGGAAATCGATTTGAAGTTTCTAATTTCAGTCGAAAATAAATCCGTTTTGAAAATGAAACAAAATCTAAAAAAAGTGAACAATAAGTAACCGCATCCTTTTAACCAAACCGCTAAAGCTGGCAGATTTATAAAAAAAAAAGAAACATGATCGCCATGGTGAGAATACTTTACCAAAACCAGCAAAAAGATGCCACTGACGCTCCACGTTCTGATGGTCGATCGATGAATGCTTGGGAAAGTCGATGGAATTCGACAAGAAGTTGAGCAAGGACGGCACTGACCAAAAACTGCTTTCGAACCATTTGTATAAGGGCATTCACACAAAATGAATTTCGACATTGGGACATTACATGAAAGAACAGTTAAAACTAAATTTCAAATACAGATGAAAATCGCTCGTTTAAATTTTTCGCTTAGAAATCCTAGACGTTTTGCAAAGATGATACAATAGCAAATAAAATTTACAAAAGCAATTGCGAACTCTTATCTACAAGAATTGCAAACGCTTGCTGTAATAAGAAAAAGAAAAAAGTATTTGAGTTTTGATAAAGGACATGCCACGCACTTTTTTCTTTGTTCTATTTTCTCTATTTTATATAAATAAATATAGTATTGATGTTTCACATATACTGGTTTAAGTATTCTCGTTTTTTTTTTTTTCAGATGTTACGATATTAAGCAAAGGGTCGTGTACTACAAGATAGACCAGCTAAAACCATGAACTTTCGGAATTTGTTTAACTAAGTGATTTTTTGTTCTCTATCCATTTATTCCTATTTTTGGGTTTTATTAAATTAATTAAAAAAATAAGATATTAATATAATTAACATAAATAACCTTTTTAAAAAATATATATATATATATTTTTTTTTTTTCAAAAATAACGCTAGTCGATTTTACAGTAAAAGAGATAAGTTACTGTAACAGCTTAAAAAAACGAAATGGAAGGGAAGGTGCTAGAGTAACAGTATTCGACTATATTATTTAGCATTTATTTAAACAATAAAACAAATAACAAAGTTACATGCGGACGGAGCCGAATCGGACATACAAACCAGCATTAAAATCTTTAGCGCTTCAGGATTTTATTCATTGTCATAAAAGGGTGAATGAAATAAAACTTGTCTATCACCTAGGATTGCTAAGAAATCTAATCTAATCTCCCACATCGTAACGTGCACGATTAATTTAGAATTGATACACTTAGCTTGTCGGATTCTACTCTCCAAACCCTTTTATATGATACCCATATCGCTGGTATTATTTTGAAAAAAATTATTTAAAAATAATTAAATCGTGGTATGCACCAAATATATCGCAGTATTAACGCATTTTTAAACAGATAATATATCTTCATTTGGGGAATGTACAAAATAGTTTTAACCTTTTTATCTTGTTTACCTTATGATTAATAAGCATAAAATCTCGAAAAAGTGAAAAAGAGGAAATTTAATCACTTGTAACCTAGTGTGAGCATGGCCGATTTTTTCCAAGTTTGCACATAAATAGTTGTGTTTTGTAAAGTAAATGAGGAAAATTTCAGCCTTCTAGTTTTTATAATCTACGAATAATAACAAAAATCCGCAAATATTTGCTTGTAAAAAACGAACTATCGTTCAGTTTACGCTTCACTGGCGGCTTGTACTTTGATCAAGTTGACCCATTTTCAATATCAACTGCAAACGTGCAAAGACTTCCAATCTTTCTACCAAATTTGCAGTTGATTTTTTCAATTTTTCAACCAGGAGAGTGTCAAGAACACGCGTCACACAGGCGGAACGACGGACAGACATGGCTTCATCAAGAATGTATATACCTTACAGGGTCTTGGAAGCTTTCTTTAGGTTGCTGCAAACAGTATGACAAATGAGTATACCCCCATCCTTCAGTGATGGGTATAAAAAAATATTCATGAATTCGTCTGCAACAATTTTCATTCTTGTTTACAGTGTATTTTGAATGACACTCTCTAGCGAATGATGTAGAGGATTTCCGATTAAAAAAATGGATTTGTTTTTATCAAAAATTGGACTTTCTCATTGAATCGCAAGCAAGTTGCAACGTGCATATCATAGACATGTTAACTAGACTTTTTTTTTTGTATCGCAATTTGCATTAGCTACTTAATCGCAGAGTCCTCTTGTGCTGTCTTTCTTTAGTATGTCTTAAAAATATATATTTTTTTTAGATCGCAAATTAAGCTACATAGAACACTTGGGAGTAATCATATAGTGTCGCCTTTGTATCAACCGTTTTTGCCAAACAGCTAGATACAAAAGCGGGCACTGATTATGTATCTTTAGTTAATTTCTCTTATTGAACGGCGTACCTTGAAAGCCATTTGGTTGTGAATTATGTATGGCTAAATAAGGGACGAATTTGACATTTATTTGTTTATTAGCAAACCACATCATACAAATATAAATGAAAAAATAAGAACAATACAAAAGTTTTGATAAAATGAAATGCGGCACGGCAAAGAATTACAACTTTCGTCCAAGTGAGTTCGACAGTGGCGAAAATTCGGGTAAATTATATTAGTTTTCACTTCTTTTTTTAGATTTTCTTTTATTTGGGAAAGTTTGTATTGTGAACTTGAACTTTGAATTTTATAGCGTTTAATTTCTATTTTCTATTCATTGACATATGAATTTACCTATACGGAATGTATATTTTAAAATTAATTAGAAATCAATCCTAGTTTTGTATTGTATTGACAAAGGCCAAATTTTTAATTTTCACGAAACAGCTTAAAGCAGATTTATTTCTTATATTTTATTTCCTCACTTATTTGATGCAAGAGGGAGGGCTCTAGCGAAAAATCGACATGGTCATTAAAGGAACAAGAAAAGCACAGCAAGAAGATACACTACCGTCACGAATGACAAATTTTCTATAGAAAATATAGTATCATTTCTCATACAACAATAGCAAAGGTGCTCTGTGCAACGCTTAATAAAATAGACTAGGCCTGTTCGCGATGACACCAACATATCAAATACAGTGATGGATTTTTATTTGTTGACCCTTTGCGCTTTATCAATAATAGCGACGGTACATGATATTGTAAGAATAGAATCATGATGAGCTTTCGTGATAGACAAGTCTTAATTAAACAATTGGAATAAAAACCGAAAAAAAAGAAATTAATTTAGTTACCTTTTACAAATTTAAAATTGATTGTCTTAGTTTAATTTTTTGTAAGGAATCAGATTCGTTTGACGCTTATTTTTCAATTTTTGGCTGTTCTTGTAAATGCAACACTAAACAAAGTATACTAACTCTGAAAAACTCGCACCTATAGTGTACACATATAGCAAAAAAACTCGAAAACGAAACTTAGCTGACTCCAAACGTCTGCAGAAAAATTTTTGTACAAAAAAAATGTTCAGTTCCTAATAATTCTCAGAAATAATCGTTGGAAATATAGTATTTTGGCATAATTTATGAATTTGAAAAATTCTGACGAGATGAAACCTTTGGATCCCGCTCAGATAATCATTTAATCTTTGTTTCAAAGAATCAGCCTTCATTTGACATCATGGTACATTTTAGGAGTGTTTGGATGAAAGCTGACGAAAAATGGTAATCTGATGTACAAAGTTATTGTGGTATGTTTAAACTGCATAGATCCATCGGCGTAAATACAATGCGGCCTAGTGTATATTTTATAACCTTAGTAATTTCATATATACATTTCAATTTATAAATTAATTTCTTCGCCAGACCTGGGATTGTAAGCGCCACCTTAATCCGCATGAAAACATACAACGAATCGTATTCAACAGTTGAGAATTCGGTAACAACTCTGTACTAACAATCCATTACACACAACAGTATCAAATCACAAAAATAAGTGCTCATAAATTGTTCTTGCAAGCTATATGCCTGTTTTCCCTTATCTTATTAAAAATGTCATCCATAATACCTCCAAATAATCCTTTAGAAGAATATAATATGAAACGTTTTTATAACTGTGTTTTATCTCAAACATTATCCGCATCGGGCAACTTTTTATTTGCCGGCAATCGATTTGGCGATATATTTGTGCAGAAGTACGTGTTTATATTCAAGAACCTCAAAAGAATTGTTTAAACATTTATTCCATACTTTACAGTATAGTTGATACACAAAACGCCAACGAACCTCGCGCGCCAATTAAAATTTATTCTCAAGGAAAAAATGTGGAAATTAATAGTTTAGCGTTTCACATTGATTTTCTGATCGTGGGCTCTATAGGTATAATTTACGGCCTAATATGGTTAGAAGAGAAAGGAGAATTAATCAATAAGCGATCGTGGGAAGTGAATATACCTCTAGAAGTGAATGCTATGGAAGTACCTGATGTAAATTGCATGTGCTTAAGATCTTCCACAAATCGTTTATATGCAGGTTGTGGTGACAACGCGGCTTACGAAATTGATTTAAATGATGGCCGCATTATGCGCGACTTTCGAGGACACGAAGATTATATCCATAGCATTTCCGGCATAGAAGACAAAAATCTTTATACTGCATCTGAAGATGGTACGGTGCGCTTTTGGAGTTTGGAGCAAGCGGAATCAACTAATATGATAGCGCCATATAAAAAGGATCAATTAATGCGACCGGAATTAGGCAAATGGTTGGGTTCGGTGGCTTCGAATGGTGACTGGTTAGTATGTGGTGGTGGGCCTAAATTATCATTATGGCATTTACGAGCAATGGAGTATACGAGTGATTTCCCGTTTTCTGGCAAGATACATATATGTGATTTCGTTGAAGACATGATCTTCGTAGGCGGTGAACATTCAAATGCTCAATTTTATGCTATGAACGGTCATACAAGAGCAGACATTAAAACTGACAATACGACAATATACTCAGCGGCTTTCAAGCTAGAACCCCAAAGATTTATGTCGATCGCTGGATTCAGCAATTGGCTTTCGATTTTAAATGATTTTCGTTTTCTTGATAGCAAAATTGAGCTTTATGTGAACAAGAATCAAACTAATGTGGATAATGAAAAAAGAAACAAATAAAAAATAATTTTTGAAGTGAAAAAATTTCGGATGTTAATTGTACCAGTAAATATTTCGTATATAACATTAGATATTTTGATCTCAAATGCTTCCAAAAGAGATCGAACGATTCCACTAAACTTTTCTAAATTTCGTGTTCTTAACTATATCATTTATTTACATTAAATACTTGTCCTCTAAGATTTCCTATTTACGCTTCATTAAATAATAAAAGTCTACCCCTTGCCTTATCAGTTGTTTCGTACTTCTTCATCAAATCATTCAAATGTATTAACTATTCGGCTAAAAGCGATACCATAGTTTGTAATGCCAGCCCGTAGATGTAGCCGTTATTGTCTTCCGGAAGTAAAAGTCTTTCCTTGCCTATCAGCATTTTAGATTTATTTTGTTTAGGTTTAGGTTGATAGTAATGAATAAACATACTGAAATTTTAAATAAATCTTAAAAAATCGCTCAACTGTTAACATCAATACGTTTCGCAGTCTTTAACAAGCATGTCCATAGACAAGCAAACAGAAAATACGTACACTATTCCCTCTGTTTCTAAAAAGGTACTCAGTGATACACCAACAGATGATGCAGCGTATCAAAGAAGAAAAGACTCAGTGTTAGCGCCTTTGCCCGAGGCTTAAGAAAAATTATATAATGATAAGGCTCAGACAAATTATATAATGATTGGCAGGCCTGGAAATTAAAGTGAATACGGAAGTACGTAACATAATGAAAATATCACTAGCCTCCGTCACTACGTCACTTTTTCTTATTTATTTATAAATTGGGATAGGGTCCCGATTCATCTAGCGGGTACAGATACGAACACAAAGAAAATAAATACACTTAACTGTTTCTTACACGGTCTTTTTTTTATATTTAATTGATAAATGGAGATGGACTAAGCCAATAGATTTGTGGCTTATATCTCCTATTCGCTAAATATTCGCTCACTTCTTCATTAGTAGTTGGTTTCCTTGTTTATCTTGTTTATCAGAAACGAGACCCAGCTGTTATTTTTCGAATTTTGACAGCCACAATTAAGTATAAATAAAAATTTGCCTTTTTTTCTGCTTCTTCATTTATTCTTGAACGAAAGAAACAAAATTCACACGAAAGTTGTATGCGATCGCGACGAAAACGTTTTTCAATCATCTGCTTTTTGCGAACGAAATAAACATTTAGATACGTGATTATCGTTTCCGCTCCCTTAAGTCGACTAAAATCCACTTTATAAAAAATTTGATATAGTGAAGCCAAAATTCCAGCCTCTCCAATATCAATTTAAAGTTAAAATAAGCGTTTTAACTTATGAAAATCATAAAATTAAATATAAAAAACAAGATTCACCCAAGTGAAGTTGGATTATTAATATATATTTTTTTTACTATATGCGTTGCAGAAACGCATTATAATTATTTGTTATATATTTTTGCATTTTCTTTCAATTTTTGGAAGTTACGTCCTTATACCATTGTTAGTATACGAAATTGCGTAATAATACGCTTTTCGTCACAAACGCAAAGCTTAATGTATTTCGTATTCTTTCGATTCGCGTATTTGAAAAACAGATTGTTATCTTGACGGACGTACGTATAATTTATTTTCTTTCATGTTTCTATACAATTTGTTTCACTTATTGTAAACTACTATAAAATAAAAGAAGAACTAAAAGTAGACTGTTTAATTTTTGAAAAGCAATGAGCAACGCTTTCTTCCACTGAACGTAGACGTTCAGAAAAAATAATTTTTTGAGGACTACAAAATTCGAAAAATTGTAAAAAAATAGAAAATGTTAGGAAAGGTAAGTAACGACCATATAAAAAAAATCCAAAAATTAAATTGCTAAAGTCGGGTTAATAGACGACTGTGATGACTCTCCAACTTGAAATTGAGAATCATCGTTATTCCCTGGAGAAAGGACGTTATTTAATTGGTAATGACAGCCGAAGGGGAAGGAATTAACTCTTTTTCTAAAATATAGAATTATATGGCAACAAAAATTAATTCAATTTTCTTTCTTTCCAAGTTTTTCAATTTAATTATCACAAATCGTGTTTGTATTATATTTTTGTTACGTTATTTAGGTTGATGCGATGCAAATTATACCTTCGCAAGTGTGAATATAGAGGCTTAGCTAGAACGGCCATTTCACAAGAAACTGGATATTCCCCAATTAAACGCCATATTGGACTCGAGCATAATATTTCCAAATTTTTTCGTGGGTGGCTCAGCCTTTCCATTTCCTGGAGGGGCTATTACCTTAAGACAAAAAAACTTTTAACATTCGACTTTTAAGCGCAAAGCAAGTTCTATAAAGTATTTTAAATTCCTAGCTGCACACTAGAGAATCCTAACAAAGGAGAGAACGCATAAATGCTTCTTTAGTCTGCAATTTTTGTTTATTATATAAATTTGACCACTTATATGAAATTTTGAAATTAAAGAAATTATTTTGGTAACCTCCGTAATTCAATTAAATTTTATGACGCCATCGAAATCCCTCACTTATTTTTAATAATTGCTCCACAATTGGAAGATTACCTCTTAAAATAACACTGTTATAAAAAAGTTTAAAAGCATCTTTTAAAACAATAGGTTACTGCCTATTATACCAACCATTGTAAAAGTATATTCATTTTATTTTTTTCGATAATGCATGTAACACCCAAAAGGAAGCTTCAGAGACGCTATAAAATATATTGTTATGAATGTATGGTTGTGTAGCGCCTGGCATTGTATTGCATTACGAAATGCAATACTCAGCGAGGTGAGGTGTGACATAATTTTTATTTTTCTTTTAGCAAAATGAATTATGCTCAATTTGCATGACACACTTCACAGTGGATGCATATACCTATATGCGATCACACCACACCCTTAACGATTTAGAGAGAAAACGTCTTCAACATATCAACAATTTTCTGTTACGAAAGCAAATTTTAACGCTAGTTCTTAATTAATTAATTTAAATAAATTCTTATGTATTTAGTTTATATAGTTTTTAATTATATTTGGTTTATAGTTTTGCATTTCTAAATTTGTATTTTTATACTTAAGTAGATTTGGTTTGAAAGTTTTCATTTCTTACAGTTTTGTATTCATAGTCTTAATTAGATTTGGTTTACAATTTTTCATTTCTTAAATTTGGTTTACTAAATCTTTATAGTGTTTGAGATGGCTTTTATTTGTATTGTTAATTGTTTTGTTCTTGAGTCTTAGATAGGTAGTTGTATTTGGGTGGTTTAGTTTAGGTTAAGTTTTGTAATAATGGTGTTGGTTTCTCTTTTATTTGTTTAGTTATATCCCCTTTATTTGTCTTTCCGATATTTCTCATTTCAATGTTAATCTTCTGATGTATTCTTCATATATTCTTAAATAATCTTCATATATTTGTCGTCATTGGGTGGGTTTAATACAATGCTGTTTTATTTTGTTATTTTATGTATGCCTTTGCTATTCCTCATTTATATGGTCATATCCCCTTATTTATTCTTTCCAATACTCCTCATTTTAATATTCTTTGATAATCTTTATGTGTTCTACATCTTCATTTTATTATTCTTTCTATTCTTCACATATTCTTCTTATATTCTTTGATACATACCTTATCTTCATTTTAATATTCTGTCTAATACTTTGTCTTCATTTTAATATTCTTTCTATTTTTTATATATTCTTATTTTTATGCATTCTTGGGAGCTCATCAGATCAATTTTTCCGAGGGCGTACCACAGTAGTCTGGATATTCAGTTGTCCTTTTAAACTCCTTTGCACGTTAACTTTGTGTATTATATAGAGGAACCATTAGTAAATGCAGTGTGCAGACCGGATATCCTCTGCCCACCAGCATATTGTAACAGAAAAAGTTATATCCCCTTATTTCAAATATAATGTTATTTGTTTATTATTATTATTATTTTTTTTTTTTTGTTTAGTAAGCCTTTTTAACTTTATTTTTGTTTTAAATATCTATTCTTTCTATATTTTAATATTCTCTGCATCTATCTAATCTTCTTAATGTTAATATTTTTTATATATTTTTCATTTATATATATTATTATTATTATTTTTTTTTGTATTCTTTTTGTTCATTCTTCTTTCTATTTTTTTTTTTTTTTTTTTTGATATATTTCCTAATAGTGGGTAGGGTGAATGTTGTTTTTTTTTTTAGTTGGCACGGAACTGCTGTCTATATATGCATTCCTTGATTATCTTTTGATAATCAATGGTTTTGACGTCGTCGCCAAAAAGTAGTTGATGGGCGTGTTCGAAGTCGAAGGGGGTGAAGAAGGATGTGCCGTGTTCTGCCTCGAAAGCTAGAGTGCTGTCCTCGGGTGGGATCATTGTGTGGGCGGGTGTTATAGGAAGTGTGTAAAAATTATTTGTTATGAGTTGTAGGTGACTGTAGGAACGATTGTGTTGGACGGGTTTTATAAGAGGTGTGTGTCAGGAAAATTCGGCCTCAACGTGATCTGGGTTTGCCAGGATCTAAATATGTTCCTCAGAAAGCGACGGGATGGGTGCAGTATCGGTGTGGCAGAATCGCCATGTAATGAATCTATGGTTGGGTAGCGTATGTTTTCTATTAAAATTTTTGTTACTGTTATTGTGATAATTCCTGTTTTGATTATTGTATCTTTGCTTATTTCTAATGGGATTACTGTTGTGATATTGATTTCTGTTGTTTTGGTTAGTGTAGGAGTTTTGGTTATTGTTGTGGCGATTGTGTGAGTTTTTCTTTTGATAATTTATTTTCATTACCTGTGAATTTATTTGCTTCGAAAAAGGTTTTTAGTTGCGCCGCAAAGATAGTGGGTTTCATGTAGTCGTCGAGGCCGTTTTTGAATATGGTTAGGACGTACGTATCGTTGATACTAGTAATGATGGATTATTATTCGTTAGTGGGCTTGGGGCCTAGTTCTTTGATTTGAAGGTAAGTTAGATCTGCTACTACATTCAATATTAAACCAGACAAGGCTACGTCTAATAGAAACAATAATAATAATTCCAATACCAATAACTACAACAGCAATAATAGAAATTTCAACTATCGAAATCGAAATAATAATAACAGACATCAAAGAAACAACAACCAAAACAACCGCGTACAAGCAATAGAAAACTAGGGAAACGGATTTCACCCGGATTCCTTAACGATGCCCCTGAATTCG